GGGAGAAGGGATTGCAGCATGGTCATCCCCCTTGGGGGATGATTTCTCCCTTTCTATCTCTCTGTCTTTCTGGCAAGCACATGCGCCCGATAGCAAAAACCTCTCCAAAAAAAAAAAGATTTTCAGGGCACTGGACTCTAATGTGGTTACCATGGTTTGAGTCCCGGACCTGGCAGCTTGCTTTCTCACTTTCTCTCTTTCTCTCTCTTTTCCCCACTCTGGTCAAAATTAAAATAAATAAATAAAGTTAATTGAAAACTTTTTTTTCTTGTCATAGGGCATGCATGCTCACTGGAGAGAGAGAGAGAAAGTGAGAAGTTACCCTCCAGGGGAGATGGACACACCACAATCCCTTCTCCTTTTGGAATTTTGGGCATGCACATACATAACCCTGGTGTGTTTTTCAAGTCACCAGGTCTGGGACTTGAACCATGGAGTTGGCCCTGTAAGATCCAATGCTTTAACCCCAACGTCACTTGCTGGTTCCTCTGTTAGGCTTTATTTATTTATTTATTTATTGAGAGGCTTTTGCTATAGGGCATGTGCGCTCTGCAGCAAGACAGAGAGAGACAGAGAGACAGAAAGCGAGAAATCACCCCCCAGGGGAGACGGCCACGCCACAATCCCTTCTCCTCCATTCTCCTCTCGGGATCTTGGGCACGCACGCACATGTGCCAGGCATGAGTTTAAGCCACCGGGTCTGGGACTTGAACTGCGGATGACTACGTGGGAGTCCAGCAACATAGCTTACGCTAACTTCTGGTCCACTGATCCAACTTCTTTAACCACTAAGCTAAAGGGCCAGTCTGATTAATTTTAGTATTCCTAGGGATAAGTTGTAGCATAGCAGAGAATTTACCATTATTGTCAGGTTCTGCAAAGACTCATTCATGTTATCCAATTGCTGAAATGCAGCCAAAATTTATGTTTTAATGGCTGGATGAAGAAATAAGCAGAAATAATGAGATTCAAATATTTCACAAACTATGATGCATCTATAGCTAAAGTATATTTGATCATTTTACTCATAAAAATAATCACAAGCCATAGTGTTAATGCAATTGGACCCACATATGAAAGGTGCCCATGAGCTTGACCAATTTAGATTAAGGGTGAATCTGGCTAGGGTGGTTGTCGGTTCTCCTATTAACGTCCTAGGGAGTTTGCGGGGTCGGTGTACAGTGCGTCCCAGCCCTGAGGCCCTGAGGTCTGGGCACTGCCTGAAATACCGCGGTGGGAAGGGCACACGTCCAGGGCTCTGTCCAGGCCGTGGAGGGGCCTGGCATCTCCCCCGGCTACGAGGGCCTGGCCTACGTCTGGCAGCACGCACAGCCTCCCACCACGGCACAGAGTAAGTGTCCAATGGACAAAGCCAGTACATGCACAAACGCATGGCCGTGAGCACAGCCTCCTGGTTCCACTATGCCCTCACTGGTGCCACGCAAAACCCATGCCTGGACACGCCATCCTGACCACGTGGGCTCAGGTCCACGCTCGGCACCGACACCCGCTGCCCTGGCGCAGGACAGTCCTCCCAGGGCTTGAACTCGCATGGCCGGCAGTTAGGAACTAGACACCCGGCCACTCCTGACCCACGGAAGAGGCAGGATTTCTCCGGAGGAGACGCGCCGTCTTGCTCACCCGTGGCAGGAAGATGAATAACCATCTCCCTGACTCCGGGCCAGTGTTCTGGATCTGCGGGACATTCACCACAGCCTGTGTCTGTCTGGTTTGGTTTAGTTTGATTTCTGTCATAGAGCATGTGTGCTTGCCAGAGAGACACAGAGACAGGGAAAATGAGAAGTCCCCCCCCGGGAGGTCAGCCATGCTGCAATCCCTTCTCCCTTCTCCCTTCTCCTCCTGGGATTTTGGGCACGCACACGTGTGCACCTGACGTGAGCTGCAAGCCACTGGGTCCGGGACTCAAACCAAGGTCGGCTATGTGGGAATCCAGTGCCTTAAGCCCCACACCCCCATATTTTTATTGGGGGGAAGCAGGAGCAGGGAGGCTGAGTCACAGAACGGCAAGTGCTGGGTAATTTAGAGAACGATGCCGCTGGGACGCGGGGAAACAGAGGCGGAGGTCAGAACTGGCCGTGAGACAGGAAGGCAGCAGTGTGGACAGGCAGCGAGGCCAACAAGCCTAGGGCGTGACCAGCTGCTCTGAGCCCGTCTCCCCACCCAGGAATCGGGCTGAGCAGTTTCCCGAACGCGGGTGCAAAGCTAGTAAGGGGCGGGGTCCAGTCTGATGGCTTTTACGTGACGAGCCCACGCGCCATTCGGTGGCTGTCATCGCACAATGTTAGAAACCAACACGGAGACTCAGAGACATTAAGTAACTGGCCCAAGGTCATGAGCTAGTGAGTGGGGAGGCGGACAAACCAAGGCCGTCTGACGCCAGAGCCCTTCCACCACGCCAACCACACGGCTGCAAGAGGCGTCAGCGGGCAGGTGGGCGAGCACTGGCCCGGCCCAGATGCAAGGTGGCGGGGGCAGGCGCTCCCTAGGGACGGCCTCAGAGGGCACACAGAGGCAGAGGCATGAGCAGAGCAGGTGGCTGCAGCAGCGGCAGGTGGCAGGACCCCAGGCGGCTTGGACCTGCTGTCTGCAAGGCTGGGCCCCAGAGGAAGCCACGCGAGGAGCCAGGGAGGGCTCTGCATCGTGGAGGCCGGGACTAGCTGCTTCCCGGGGAAAGGACCAAGGCCAGAGTGTGGCAGGGAGCGGGAGCCCAGGCCGGACCTGTTGGTGGGTGGGCTGCAGGTGCCCAGGTGAGCACTGGGGGAGGTGGTGCACACCCAAAGGAAGCGGCAGGGGGGCAGGCATGAAGAGACCTGAGTCAGCGGGACATGGGGATGCTCGAGCAGGTTGTCCCTTCCGACACTCGCACTCCTAGTCTGTCCGCGGAAACCCCACCACGTCCCAGTTTTTGGCAGCAGTGTTAGGAAAATTCTGCGCCCACTCACTAGGTGGGACGCGGAGCGCGGCTTGTCTCCGACTGCAGACCCCACACCCGGCCCCGCACCTCCCCACTGGCTCCTCGTCTGTGGACGGCGTCCCTCCGCCCCTCGTTTGTGGCTCACACGCAGGCTTCCCACTCGCCATCCTCTGCCCTGAGTGGAGTGCCCGACTCCCGACCACTGCATGCTAGCGCCTCCTCAGGAAGCCCGCCCTGACCTCCCGGCCCGGCCCGTACTGTTACCGTTAACAGGACCCCGGCACTTGCCAGCACACAAAGCTGTCTCACTCTCTGCAAGGCGTCGGCATACTCGGTCCACCCGTGGCTCCCAGGGGAACGCAAGCTCGTGAGAGCGGGCACCACGGCTGTGCTGCCCCTGCCAGCCTCACCACCGTCACCCACAGTACCTGGCACCAGGCAGACGCACCTGGTGGATGGACGGTGCAGGGGAGGGCAGAGAGAGGAGGTGGGAGCAACAGGCCAGCCAGCGTGGGGTTAGGGCTGGGTCCCACACAGCTGACTACACAGTTTGAGTCCCCGACCCGAGTGCTCGAAAAACGTGCCGGGCACACACGCACGGTGCCCAGAATCCTGCAAGAACGGAGGAGGGATTGCGGCACGGCCGGCCCCTCGGGGAATGCTTTCTCACGTCCCCTCGCTGTCCCTCCATCTCTCCTGCAAATGCACATGGCCTATAGCAATTTCTTTTTGAAAAGTGGAACCAAGTCCAGATGTCACAGGGAAGGTGACCGGGAGCAGGCCCTTCAGACAGGCACAGAGGTGAGGCAAAGCCACCCAGGGGGCAGGTCCTCTGCGGCAGGCAGGCAGGCAGGCACCAGAGGCTGCAGTAGAAGTCCCAGCAGAGAGCAGCGCCACAGCTGAGGGGCGAGCCCGGGGTCCTCACATCTCTCAGGGAGGAGAGAGCGCGTGAAGACAGGAAGCAGACCCGGGGCAGGGGCAGGGGCAGGCAGGGCAGGCTGCACTCCCTGTCACACACCTGTAGGGAGTGATCATGAACGAGCCCCCGCCCCGACTATCAGCAGACTGTGGGACCCGGCTGGTGCCAGGGACTTACCCACGGGACAGCATCTCCCTGGAGGGATGAGGAGTCACAGCCTGAGGCCCCAGGGAGCAGGGCCACCGGTGACACAGCTGCGCACAGCAGCCAGGCCAGGTGGGGGACGCTCAGAAGTCAGCCGCTGCCTCCTGCCAGGCCCAGAGCTCTGCGGGGACAAACCCCTGGATGAAAGGTCTCTGGGAAAAGGACAGGTGGGGCGGGGCTGGCCCAAGACCGCCCACCACAGCCCTGTCCCCTCGCCAGAGCCCAGCAGGCCCGCCTGCCTGTCCAGGCCTCCTTCCCTTGGGAGGGGAGGAGCCACCTGCAGCCCCACCTGGAGCTACGCTGACAGGGCAGGCAGGAGGGCTGGCAGGGACACCAGGAAGTAACCCTGGCCGAGGGAGCCAATGGGGCGCTCCGTCTGCGGGATCCAGGAGCCTAACAAAAGCCCGGAAAGCCGACTGCTGGGGAAGGAGGAGCCATCCCAGCTGGGCACCCACTCAGCCAGGGTGCGAGGGTCAGCCAGCCTCACCCGCCCTAGGCTCACCCGCCCTGGGCATAGGGGAGCCGCTGCTGGAGCAGGGAGTACAGGCAGGATCTGGCCAGGGACAGGGGGCACCCTGGAATGACACGGGGAATCTGGGGGCCAGTGGGGGAGGGTGTCAGACCACGAAGGACGACGCTAAGGCCGAGTCACAAGCACGTTTATTGTCCAATGGGACCCAAGGTCTCCCCTGGCCAGCAGTGGCCCAGGGAGGACCCCGTCTCAGGTCTCAGGAGGCGGCCACGCTGCCACCCGCAGCAGGGCCGTGGGGCGGCAGTGTCATGGGCGGCAGGAACAGAGCCTTCAGCTTGCCCGACAGGCTGGCAATCTCGGGGTCCTGGGCCTCGTAGGACTTGACCAAGCGGGCAAACTTAAGGACTCCTGCAAGAGGGAGTGGGGGCAGCTCAGTCTCCAGGGAGGCCAGTGTGGCCACCACAGAGGACAGGCGGAGGAGGGGGTGGCGGCTCGAGCACTGGCTTCGGCCTGGCCGTTTCTGCAAAGCAGGATGATGCAGGTCCTGCGTGGTTCGAATCTGGTCTCCACGGCGGGGTGAAGATACCCCGGAGGGCAGCTTCTCACTCACTGTGGCCCTGGGCCGCGTAGTCACAAGAACCCCGAGCCCGAAGACCCCCAGGATCCCTGGTCTGTACTCGGGACACAGGAAGGCTTTGGGGCAGCTGAGCGAGTAAACAGACACTCTTGTTCCCTCACCAAGGAAAGTTAAATTTATCACTGACAGCCAGAAACTAGCCGGAACACCCTGAAGGGCTGCAGATCTGCAGGTGTGTGCTGAAAAGAACAGGTTCGAGGACCAGCCGGTGGCTTAGTGGTTAAGCCAATGGACTCTCACATGGCTGATGATAGTTCAAGTCCCAGGCCCAGTGGCTTGAAACTCACACGGGGCGTGTGCACAGGAATGTGATCAGAGGTAACCACAGACTGCACTTGGGCCTTGGCAGGTGCGAGTTCAGGACACGCTGGGACTCCTAGCGCCAACAGTGCTTGCCGGATGGTGGCTGCCGCCCTGTGGCCAGCTAGGGGACGACGGCTCCGGGGCCCACGGACCCCACGCCCTCACCGACCCACCCCAGGTCTCCTCGCGTCCGACGCACCTTCCCCGTCGCAGCTGAAGCCATAGGCTTTGATAACCTCCTGCTGGATCTGCGTGGCCACGGGCAGCACGAATTGCAGCATTTTGCCCATGTCGTTGCACGCGTTGTCCCGAGCCTCGTCCATGCGCACGGCGTTCTCCGGGGCCGAGAACGCCTGGATCACCTCTGCCAGGACCACTGCGCCCACAGGCATCCCAGGGAAGCGCCCCAGAGGAGGCGGCAGAGCACAGCCGGCGGGCGGAGCGGAGGGCACAAGGAAGAGGGCAGGGAATTAGCGGGCTGAAGCCGAGGGTAACCTTTGACGGACTCTCCCACTTACAAGAGGGAGAGGGATGGCATCCCGCGCCCCCCGCCCACGTTTCCCGGAGAAGGTGGCCACATCCCGCCAGCTGTCCTCCACCCGCATCCTCCCCGGGCGGGTATCCCAGTCGTGACCAGGGTGCGTCTCACCCTTAGCTTGTTCCGCACTTAGGGCCGCGGGCTGGGCGGAGGCAGACGCCATAAGGCGACAGAAGACGCACGTGCAACGGAACTAAGGGAAAGGCCTAGGAACACCGGTCGGCCGTCTACAATGACTGCTAACACCAATGCCGGCGGAAGGGAAGCTGCATCAGCCGTAGCCGGAAGCTTCTCCGCGCAGCAACAACCCCGTAACCGGCCCGCCCGCCCACGGAGAACCCAACTAGACAACACTTGGGAAAGTCGCTAAGCCCGAGTGAGCTTCTACCGCGTAGAAGACTGTTCTATTATTCAGCACAACCACTTGGTGGGGCTTTCCGGTACAAACCGGAAAACCTGCTAGACAAATTCTAAAAGAGCTGTGACACTGCGGGAGGGGCGCGCTGGAGAGAACTTAGAGGACACATGAACTCCACTATTAGTGAGGGTGACTTCAGAATGGCGTCTTTCTAGTTCCTATTGATATATAAGCGATGAGACGCATTCTCAGTTTTACTAGAGAAGCCAGTATTCTAAGGAACTTGCTTCAATCATTTATTTCCAGAGTTTGTGAACGTTTGACACCAGCCTATGCAAATGAGCCCAGTGCTGATTGGCTGAGAGCGCGGCCAGTCACAGCCCTTTCGTGGGTAAGAACGGAGACGGCGATTCGCAGCAATAAAAGCCCGGAGCAAGCGCAGCGCTGGCGCTGTCCTAAAATGGCCTTGGCCGGTGCTTGCTGATGCCCCGTTTTCCTTCTCTTCTAAGCGTTCAGAATCGTCGGACTCCTAACTAAACCGTAGGGTAGTAAAGGCTGCTGAGAACGAAGAGTGCGCCCAACCCACCCCCAGCTTCATAATCAGTTTTCAAACTCTCTACGCAAAGAATTGGGGGCTCTGGAGCCCTAGTTCCAGGATTGGTGTCTCCTAGGAGTTGGACCCGTGCCAGGAACGCCTCCAAGGTCGTGGTACTGTCCCACACCTGCTCCCGTCCTTGGGGTGCAGGGGAGCTAGCACCCGTGCTACCCCATCAGCAGAGCCAAAGCTCCGGCTCTTCCTAGATCCCCTCTCGACCCTCCAGGACCCCTGTCCCTTCCCGCCTCCCTGCCAGTTCCCAGGACGGTGCCTGGTGCCTGGTCCTCATCCCCACCGCCCCACAGCCCGCAAAGAACCAGTCACAGCCATCTTCCTGGGGAGTTGTGAGGATGTTTTTGTTTGGTTGGTTTTGGTCGGGGTGTTTTTTAAAGAGCGTCATATAGATATTTATATATATAATTTATTAATGTGGGGAGGGGTGGGGCATACATTGCAGAGGGGGCGCGCACACAAGGATGGGGACGGGGCCGGGGCGGCACACGATGCTACGCAAAACAGCCACATCTAACAGATGAAATCATCACACCAACGGGGTCGGGGAGGGGCAGCGGCCACCAAGGATTGGGCAGGAGAGGAAAGCAGGGGGACAAGGAAGAGGGGCCTGGTCCAAGATACTGTGCGCTTTCTGTCCCACCCTCCCCACCTCCCCACCCTGGCACACCACAGGCCTTGGCCGCAGTCTGTCCCTCCCTCCTTCCCTCTGCCCAGCTTCAGAGGCTCTGCAACTGAGGAGCACCCTGTCCTCAGCTCTGGGTGGCAGGCCAGGAGGGGGGCCCAGGTCCAGATGTAGGAGCGTGGGTCCTCTTGTTCGCAGGTTCTACAGCGGCTTGTCGCTCTCCTTCTTCAGGTGACTAGGGAAGGGCAGTGCACAGCAGAGATGAGACTCAGAAGGTCCCAGCCTTGCCCCTTCTGCAGACGGGGATCCCCGGGGCCCTGCAGAAGCCCGCCCGCCGCGCACGCAGTCCCCGCCCTGCTGGGCCCGGGCGCCCCTACCTGTAGTAGTCCTCCTGGGCGGGCAGCGGCACGCTGTGCAGTGGGTGATGGGCGTGCAGCCACTGCTGCTGCTCCAGCGCCAGGCGCTGCAGCTCGGCCGACTGCGCGTGCATGGCCTGCAGCTGGTGAGCTGCTGACATCGGGGCAGACAGGGAGGCCGGCAGGTCCCGGTAGGGGGCAGCTGTGAGCAGGAAGGGCAGGGGCACGTGACTGACGGGTACTGAGGGCCTAGTCCGAGCCCAGGGACAGCCAGTCCCTCCGCATACAGGGAAAAGGGAGACTGAAAGGTTAGGTAACACAGCCGGCCTTGCAAGGCGCCACCAGGGGGATGAAATTGGGACGGAACCCTCTTAGCCGGGCAGGCCCTCAGCTCTCCTCTTCTCTAGGCGCCTCTTCATCCCTCTCCAAGCCTAGCTAGGCCCACCCCTGCCCCCAACCCCTCCTTCCTGCCCTCTTCTCAGCATTTTCCCACTCCAGTCTCCATCCTTACCAAAGAGCTGGTGACGAAGAACTTCGTTCTCGTGCAGAGGGTGAGGAAGAAGGGGGTTAGGGAGGGTTCCAGCTGGGTAGGGGATCCGGGTAAGGTGCGACCCTGAGGCCAGGGGGTCAATGAGAGGGTGCACCGAGGCAGAGGCTGGAGGGCAGAGAAGAGGACGGTGTCACCACGAGGCAGGGTTAGGGAAAGCCATGTGTTGGGGTGAAGGGGTCCAAGCCTGGGCAGGGGAACAGTCAAACACAAGGTCCCGGCAACAAAGAGGACAGACCGGACTAGGCCTCAGGGATGTATGGATGATGGAGGACAGATCACAGTCGCCAGATAGGTCTGGGAAGGAGCAAGACAGACTGCTTGGAGGAGAAAAGCTGAGAGAAGGTGAAGACATGAGAGAGGAAGGATTAGGAGACGGCACGGGACCTGGAACAAATGTGTTTGCAGGGGGCAGGCAGCGTCCTGGATGAAAGAAAGGGTAGGCCAGAAAGGTCAGTGGAGCCTGCGACACCCAAAACCAAAGCTAGGAGGCCCTTCCGGGCAAAGGGGAGAGCTGGAGATGAGGAATCAAAGACCTCGCGTTGGGAGGGAAAACCAGAAAAAACAAAAGTTGAGTCCAGAGGAACCAGAAACAGTGCAGGCTTGGAGAAAGGGGCTGCAACGTGGGGTTTGTCGTGGCTGGGGTGTGGGGAACCCGGCTCTGTGGCGAGGCTGGGGATGAGGAGACAAGGCCGGGGCAAGGCCAGTGAGGCAAAGACCGGATGGCGATCTCGGGGAAACAGACCAGGGAGGGTTGGCCTGAGTAAGGGGGCCCATGACGCCCCGGGGAGAAGGGGGCCAAGGGCCAAGGCAAGGAAGCAGGGTCTCACCTGCGTGGATGGCATCCTGCTGGTGCAGGTGCAGGTGCGAGTGGATGTGGGAGTGCTGGTGGTGATGGGGGGTCACGTTGAGCATCTGCAGCCGGGCCAGCGGGTCATTGCCCAGCGCCGCCACCCTTTCTGCGTGCTGCCTCTCAGCTGCCAGCCGCTCAGCATACGACATGTCAGGCCGCAGGGCAGGCCCAGCTGCCAGCGCGAGACGTTCTCGCTCCAGGGGCCCCAGGCTCGGGTGAAAGGGGAAAGGGTGCAGGCCAGGTGGGCCAGGCTGCAGAGCAAGGCCCCCGTGTCGGGGGAAGGGATCCAGGCCCGGCCCGGGGACCCCGTGTAGGGGTTCCAGCTCACTAGGCTTCACCTCGAAGCCAGGCTTGAGGCGATCACGGAGGTCTCGTTCCCGGGCTTCCCGCTCCCTTTCCCGGGCAGCGGGGTCACTGCTGTACAGTGCCGGGACATTGTAACCCAGGAGCCCGGGGTCCACAGCCCCCAGGGGCACGTAGAACGGATGGTTGCGATTGCCAGGAGACATGACATGAGGCCGGGCGTATTCACTGAGGGTGCGCAGGGCTGGAGTGTCAGGGCCCAGGTAGGGGGGCACTGTAGCCACGGCACTGCCCGGTTCAAATGGAGGGCGATGGGGCACTGGGCCCAGGGATGGGCACTCCACTGGGGCACGGCCCTCCTGAGCCAACTTCTGTAGGGTAAAAACAAAAGGGGGTTACCAGTTTATCCAAAATGGGTCGCCCACTGGAACTCTGCCTACCAGGAACTCCCCAGCCCTGCCCTCCTCCGCGCTTTCCCTCCTTACCAGCCGCAGCCCCAGAAGGTGTGCCTTCCCCTCACCGGGAACGCACAGGTTGCTCAGGCTGCTCCCGCGGGAACGCTTCGGGGCCCGCTTCCTGGGCTGCAGTGGTTCCTCCCACCCGACAGAGGGCGACGCCACCCCCCGGAGTCGCTACGCAGCGCAGGGGCGAGGGCGCGGCAGGAGCGCGTGCCGTGACGCACTCACCACGCTGCGCTCCAGCTCGCGCTCTTTCTCGCGCTCCTTCTCGCGTTCCCGCTCGCGCTCGCGCTCCTTTTCTTCGCGCGCGCGCTGCTCGGCCTCGCGCCGCACCTTCTCCACCAGGTCGGCGCGCTTCTTGGCCAGCTTGGAGCCCTCCAGCGGCACGAAGTACAAGTCGCTGCGCGCGCACGAGTTAAAGCCGCGGTCCAGGTGTTTGTTGAACCTGCCGGGCGCACAGGCGCGCTCAGCTCCCCCGCAGGCTGTGAGCTGCCGCCCGCCCCCAGGGCCAGGAGGGCGAGGCAGGGCGGAGGACAGTATCGGGGCCCTCTCGGAAAGCTCTCGGAAAGCGCAGCACGAACCCAGGGCCCCTCCCAATCCTCGCCCCGCGCCCCAGCCCAGACACTCACCTGGCAGACTGACTGGCATGGCTGGGCACGTCCACCACCTTGGGAGGGGGCGAGGGGCTCCGAGCTGGGGGCACCGGGCTCTCGGGGGTCTCGTACTCCTCGGCAGGCTCCTGTTTGATCTGTGTGGCGCTCAGGGGCGGCCCTGAAGCAGGGGCCGCAGGTGGAGGTGGCAGAGATGACAGGGTGGAAGGCCCTGCAGGTGGCAGGGGCCCGGGCCCCACGGTGGGCGAGCCAGGCTTGAAGGTCCCTGGCCCCGCGGGTGGCGAGGCGCCTCGATAGCCCGGAGGAGTTCCCGTTCTGAAGGAGGGTGGCGACCCTGGCTTATATCCGGGTGGGGTGGCTGTCTTGTAGGCCCCTGGAGAGGGGGCTCTCTTTCCATACGGAGGGGGCCCCGGTGGGGAGGCTGTTTTGTAGCCTGCTGGCGAGGAAGCCACGGTGGCAATGACCGTGGAAAGGGTAGCGGAGGAGGTGGTGACCGGAGGCCCAGGTGGGAAGGGATACGGTGCCCCTTGGGGGCCCTGGGAAGGGGAGGGGTGTGAACAGGGGTAGGACCCTTGAGAAGAGGAGGAAGAGTTGGAAGAGGAAGAGACTGGGGGACCACTCGGGCCTGCTTGGCTGTAGGACACCTGGCTGTGAGGTGGGGGCAGGTGTGCTGGCCCCGGAGGGTAAGGCCTCAGAGACCCCAGGGAAGGAGACATGGCGTAAGGGTGTGCATGGTGGGAGCTGCTGCTCTCCA